GGCCGCGGCCGACCAGGCGTGTCTGCCTCTAGGTGGGGAAGATGCAGGGCAATAAGGGCTTCAACCTGGAGAAGCAGAACCACACTCCGCGGAAGCAGCACCAGCACCAGCAGCACCCGCCGCCGTCCATCCCCGCCAACGGGCAGCAGGCCAACAGCCAGAGTGAGTCCCGGGCCGCCCGGCCCTTCCTTGGGTAGGCGTTGAGCTACTGCCCCAGCTGCGGAGAGTAGCTTTGTGTCCCGCTTAGCTGTCGGGGCCCGTCTGGGTGCAACAAGTCTGGGCGGAAACAAACAGAACGTCCTCTTTCAACTTAAAGCAATAAAAACTCGGCTCCTTGTGCAAACTGCGACTTGCGTTTGCTGTTTGCCTGCAGTAATGGGGTTTTCCCGTTGTTGGAGAGGGTGGTTTGAATTGCAGCTGGGTTGGTTTTTAGGGTTTTTTTCTCAGTCTACTCAAAGATGCATGTGGCTCCTGTAGGTTTGACTGGGATTTGTTTTTGAGTTTCTTATGTTCTCGAAACTGGGCAGTGATGTAGAGGTTCCTTCTTTGTCTCAAATTCTCGAGAAAAGCTCCCTTAAAGAGTTCGGAAGTCTCTGAACCTTTAACAGTGTTTTGGTAAACCTTGTAAATATGAGATGTCCTGTTTTCTGTTGGCTCTGTTTCTTTTTTTTTTCCCCAATCATAACAGATGGCTTCTCAACACAGGTTTCCTTAAGTACTATCAAAATAAATTTGCTATCTATCAGGATAAGTTATAGTAAGAACGTTGTTACAGCAATCTGCAGTCACCCGTTAAGACTAAATTTTTACGGGGGAGGGACCAGGAGACACCCAGCTTTACTTAAAAATATTTCAGCATTCAGGTACCAGCTAACATTGATGGTGGCTGTTACTCTCTAATCTAGTGTTTCCGGGTTTGTTCTTGATCAGTGTGGATTGTAGCTCTGTTACTTGATGTATAGAGGGGGTGCTTGTGAGTTGAGACAATATGCATTAATGGCTTCTGGTGCCTTAACTGATTAAACTTGGTAGTTTAGAAGTATGGTGCAAGGCATAGCTGTTAGCATTTTCAGGGGAGAAAGTGCTTTAGTTAAATTAGATTTTTTTTTCTTGGTTTGGACACTTCTGCTGTTCAAAAGCATTTGTAAGTCACCAGTGCAGTTTATATTATTCCTCTGTGTGTTTTTTCCTGTCAAAGTCGCAGGTTTTACTATATGCACACACATGCAGAAATACCGGGCTAATAAAAAAATTCCTGTGTATATTTATTACCTGGCCCTATTAAACAGGCTCCTTATCAGTTTGTAGAAGCTAATAGAGAAGGGTGGCAGACCAGAGAGCAGTCTGTTTCCAGTCAGGTTGGAAACAATACAACACAACAACTGTATTGTGGTGTTCTCACAGGGATCAGCTCATAGTTAGTGACTGCATCTCAGATCCCTTTGAGTGAATCTACTTAAGGCAGAACAGTGATAGTGGTATACCTCTGCCCTAAGTCCCTCCTAGTGTATTCACAGGCCTTGCAATACATCCCCAAATACTTCTGATGATGGTGTGAAGAAGTTCATAAACACTTCATTTACGCACCCTTGCTCTGTGGAGTAAATCACTTACTCTCAATACTCTTCCCATAGATACACCCATCAGTCTTGGTTTTTTTGTTTCAGTGTTAGCCATGGAGGTGTGCTTATTCTTGTAAGAGACTTGTCCTTGCATGTCTTGCATGTATTGTCTTTACATTAATTCCTGGTTAGTACCGTGCTTTGTAGCCTGAATCAAGCCGCTAATGTTCGTAGTTTGTTTCATCTGTGTGGCCATGAGGTGTGTCCTTTGCAAAGCAAAGGCTTTCTATGGCTTGCTGTCCTGTGTGTGGAAGTTCTGTGACAAGGGAAGGCAACATGATAATAAAGCCACCCCTGTGCCTGACATATAGCAGAGCTTCCAGGATCGTGCTGGACTCTTGCTGGATTAAGGGTTAAAAATTGTATATGTATTTGAGAATGTTCCTACAATCTATCCTCTGTATTAGTGTTAGACATAGCATTGCTTACTGACTATAGATTTTTTGTAATGAACTTCGTAATTTTTTCGAGGTCTCACCTGTATGGCTGGTTGTTAGGGTGGGTTTTTTCCACTATTTTCACCATTCCAGCCTTCTCTTCAGCTTGTAATCCAAGACTCTAGAACCCAAATCCCATCTCATAGAATGACAGCCTTCTCAAATGTTATCTGTCTGGGCAAAATTTCCTCTCATTTGCATATTTTTCTAGACATCTGAGGCTCCTTTTTTTTGAGTAAACATCTGATTGCTGGACAAACTGTGTCTTTTTTATAATTATTCAGCGTGTAATAGCAAAATTCTGTATTGTGACTACAGTTGGTTTCATTGTGGCACAGTCATCTTGACCAGATCTCAAAAAGTTGAGTGAAATCGCTCACATTTCAAGCTGCAGTGTTCTTATTTTCTCCAGTTCCAGACTATCTTTCTCTCATGTTAATGAGCACTGAGGTTCAAGTGTGTGTTTTCTTTAACAAGAATATGGACCCATTCAGAAATAAAATCCCCTTGTTGCTGTAGAGGTGTCTGGAGAGGTTTGAGACTGAAGTGAATGGGTGGTGTTACTTATATTGTCCTATGGGTCTGTATTCACTGTGATGAAACCTAACAGAATTTATCCCCCCAACTGTAGAGCAGCTGTGTGCCTTATTCCCCTCAGATGAAGGCCTGACTATTGACCTGAAGAATTTCCGGAAACCTGGTGAAAAGACCTTCACCCAGAGAAGCCGCCTGTTTGTGGGAAATCTGCCCCCGGATATTACAGAGGAAGAGATGAGAAAGTTATTTGAGAAGTATGGCAAGGCAGGTGAAGTCTTCATACACAAGGACAAAGGCTTTGGCTTTATCAGGCTGGTGAGTGACTTGCTACCATTGGGTTGGTTTTGTGGCAATGACTCACACTGGAGGAATACTGCTGGTTGGAGGTAGTAGATGTTCAGTTATCTTGCTAATTAAGCCTGCTGTTGGTTTTAGGAACCTGGAATATTAGCTCAGCTTCTACAAGTGGTTTGTCCAGAGATTGTTATGAGAAGTAATGTGAATTCAGGCATCTTGAAACAGGATTTATGAGTTATCTGATAAAGTTATTCTGAAGTCAGCTGGTAGAAAACAAAGAAAACATTAACGTGATGTTATTATAGACAAGGTGGACTTCCATTTTCTGGAAGGTTGTGAACATGGAATTTCTATGAACATAGATTGTCATGCAGTATTACTGGAGTGATGAATACTCTTGAGGCAGGGAATCTCTTGATGATTGTGTTGAAGTGTGGCTAGGAGGGAGGTAGCTACCAACAGAGTAATGGTTCTTAGAATTTATTGGCTCATGTTCTACCTTTGCGAAAGCCCCAAGGTGAGTGGATGGAGCATGAGGCTCCCACACCAAAGTCTGGGGTGCTTTGCTGTAGCGTAGCTGCTTGGTAGCGACTCAGATGAATGGCAGGGTGTGGAACTGGCATAGGATGTCTTTCCTGGATTGTCATACAATCAGCATTTCCTTTCACAATTGTCAGACTTGGTTAATAGTTGAATGTTGATTTTTGGTTTTTTATGTATTAAAAAAAGGCATGCTTTGTAGCCTTTATCTAGTGGACATAATTATATTATGATAACTGAATTGTTTGCTTGGTTTGAACTGGATGTTGGGTTAAGCTTACGTCTGATAACTTAATTTTTTTTACCCCCGCAAACTACATGCCTGTTCAGCTAGAGTAATTCGTAATAGAGAATAGCTACAGTTTGTTAGGACACTTTTTACCATGCTGTGAAGGATTATTTGTTCCTCTGTGTGAAGGACCTGTTCAGGGGACATAGGCTTGTGCCTGTGGCTGATTCTGTACTGCATTGAGAGTTTTAATGATAACTTCTTTTATCTTCAGGAAACTCGCACTCTGGCAGAGATTGCAAAGGTGGAACTAGACAACATGCCTCTACGTGGGAAGCAGCTGAGAGTGCGTTTTGCATGCCACAGCGCATCACTGACGGTCAGGAACCTGCCTCAGTTTGTGTCCAATGAGCTCCTGGAGGAAGCCTTCTCAGTGTTTGGCCAGGTGGAAAGGGCTGTGGTTATTGTGGATGACAGAGGACGATCCTCTGGGAAAGGCATTGTGGAGTTCTCAGGGAAGCCTGCTGCTAGGAAAGCCCTGGATAGATGTAGTGATGGGTCTTTCCTGCTAACTACGTAAGTGTGGAGGGTGAGAAGTGCTATTCTGGCATGTGTGCAGGTTGATGGGTGGCACTGTCTTGTGGGCAATGTTTCTTAACACAGATCAGTGGGACAGATGAGATGCGGGGCAGGAGGTGGTAGGTGACTTGCCCGGGGAGAACTTAGTGTTGTTCCAACAAGAGTGAGTCTGTGCTGAAACTCAAGTCTGAAATCTTTCTTCTGGGAAGTTGCTAGTGGGGTAAGTACATAAAACTTCCCAGTAAGCTTTTTCTCAATAAAGCCTTCTTAGGCAATTAAAGTAGCCTTTGTGAAGCAGGAGCTGTTTCAGAGACCATCCATGTCATTTGTTGGAAACAAAGCTCGAGTATGTTAATTGTGCACTCTGGGTCACTTTGGAGATGAGTCTTGGGATGGAATTCCGCTCAGCAGCAAGCACTGCTGGGGTGGAGTGCTGATCCACCGCTGTGCGCATGGGATCTGCTGGAGAAGCTGTCAGAGAGATTTGATTGTTTGGAGTTTTCACCATAATAAACTTTTCCTTGTGCTTGAATATCACAAGACAACAAAGCATTTCCTTGCATAATTATGTGAACTTGGTCAAGTAAATTACTAATTCTAGGTGCATTCCACAGAGCACAGCTTGTTGCTTTAACTATTAAGAGGGAGGTGGTTTTGATCTCTTGGAAATAAAAATTACTGTGTATTTTGTATGTATGCACCTAGAATTTGTGAATAGAATACTTCCTGAAATTTGGGCTCTATTGCTAATTACTGAAGTAATTTTATAAGCTTTGTCCTTCTTCTCTCCTTTTTATTGGAGGCCTGCATTTGGCACAGCTGTACACAAGTATGTTTAGTTTCAAAAAGCAGGTGTTTTGTGTGTTTGGTTTTTTTTAGTCTCTGTTTTTCTCCCTGAGACTCTTTGGGGATAGCCATCATAGCATGTAGTGTTTTGCAGGAGGATTGCCATTAGGGAACTTTTGCTGATTGGGAAGTCTATATCCTGAAAGAACCAGGAAAACAGATTTTTAAGCATCTGAGGGTAACATTCAAGCTTTTTATAGCTGTCAGTGTATTAGATTTTGATATCTAGGACACTAAACCAGTATGTTGCTCACTTTTAGTTATGGTTTGGTTTTGATTAAATCAGTTCTGGTTTGTCCTAGTTCATGACAGTAACAGCTAGATAAACTGGTTGGAATTGGTTTACTTTGGAAAATAAGACTATTAATAATGGAATATGCCACGTCAAAGTGAAAAGCTACATTGTGGATCTTCAGCTGAGGGGAGAGATTTTAGCCTCTCATCCTGCCTTCCTGATGAAGTCTGGGCACCACTTGCCACTTGGCATAGTGTGATCGTTTCTGTTCCATTTCCCCAGCTCTGGCAAATGGGGTTGAAGAGCTAACAAGAACCTGCGGTGCTGCTTTGTGCTGAGGATGAGCAGTGTCACTGCTGTGGTGGGGAGCTAATTCAGAGATTGGGGATGCTTCTGTTAAGCAGGAGGACGGAAGTACACGTGTGGTGTCTTTGTGTTGTGAAGGGCACCAGTGGATTTCTTGGGGGTGGAAATTCAGACAGGGCCCAACAGGCACTTAGAGCACTGCTGCTTGGCAATAATGGCACGTGGTGGTCTCACCAGAGGAGTATGACTGACTGGTGCAGCCAGCAGCTGCCAGTGGGGAGCAGTCTAGTTACCCTTCACTTTAGGCAGCTATAAAAAGGCACACAAGGACCTGTGCAGCCCGTGGTTGGCCATGTAGCAAGGTAGGGAAGGCATTAAAAACAGACTCTAGGGACTACAGGACTTCATGCTGAGTGGATCCTACTGGAGGATAATTTGAACCTGTTAACTTGCATCAGTAACTGCAAGTATTCTTTCAGTACAATTTTGGTTTGTATTCAACAAGGATTTTAATTAAGACTTCAGCTTCTATTCTAAAAAGAAAGAAAAAAAGGTGTTCAAAATGATTTTTGGTTTCACTTTGGTTGAGATCTCCACCTGCTCTGAATTTCTTTGAGCAGTGCTAGAAGCTGTATTTTATAAGTTCAGACACAGTAGACGTGCTTTCCTACACTGCAAGCTCGTTCTTGAATTTTCTTGAAAGCAACCTCATCTTTTCTTTACAGATTCCCTCGGCCTGTCACTGTGGAGCCCATGGATCAGTATGATGATGAAGAGGGACTACCAGAGAAACTAGTCATCAAAAACCAGCAGTATCATAAGTATGTGCCTGCCATGCAACAAGAGATGAGACTACCTGTGGACTACGACCTTAGCTTGTGCCTCAGTCTTAGGAGGGTGGCTCATCAGTGCTGCTAAAGATCCTCCTTTTTTCTGTAAATGTGACCTGGGTCTGGAAAGAGAATTGTATACATTGTTTTGTTGCCATGGTTAGCTGAAAGAAAGCAGTGGGTTTGGATCCACACTGCTGGATAAGACTAGCAGCCTCCACATACATATTTTGCATAAGTCTGTTTCAGTTGTTGGAATAAAAAGTTGTGTTAGTTTGAGATGACATGAGATCCCCTTGCTTGGATGAGAAGCTGAAGCAAGGACTTAAGTTATTTGCTCTAAGTGTTACGGAAAGTCTGTAGAGGAAACAGGTTTGAACCCACTGTGAAAACTTAGGGAATGATGTGAGTAGCATTAAGAGTTTGTAGAGCTATCAAAGTATAAGGCTGTGGTCTTTGAACACTTCCCAGTGTAAGTAGGTATTATGTGATTTGAGTAGTGGGAATTATTAAACCATATGAACTCATGAATTTTTCAACTAAGGAAGATAAGAGCTTCAGGAGCTGGGAGGCTGCATTAGGAATAGTTATGTGCTCCAGGTGCAGGGGCTGCAGAGATTAGTGAAGTAAACACACGTATTTGGGCATTATTTGCTTCTGGAGTGGATCTGTCCATAAGATGTGCAGCAGGACCAAAGGCTGTTTCTTTCAAGAGTATTTCTAAGTGTCTTGACCCAAAATATTTTGGTGTCTTGTGAAAGCAGTGTCATTGCTTGTTATGGAGGAGGACAGGGCACAGTTTCCATGTGTAATTAATCCTGCAGGAGGACTCTACCTAAGTTTGTCTTTTCAGTAGTATGATTCCTGAGGAGCAGGAAGGAGCCTGGTATCTCAGGCATAGTTCTTTGTGAGAAGGTAGAAGGCAAAGTGGTTCCTTATTTGTTGCACTAAGAAATGCATTTCTAAGTGCTAAAATGATCTGCCATCGCATTTAATGCACAACTGTATTTTTCTTGGTTCCTCCTTACTCTGTTGAAGCATTCACCAGCTCTTCCTTGTTTGACAGGGAGCGTGAGCAGCCTCCTCGATTTGCACAGCCTGGCAGCTTTGAGTATGAATATGCCATGCGCTGGAAGGCTCTGATAGAAATGGAGAAGCAGCAGCAAGAACAAGTAGACCGCAACATCAAGGAAGCTCGAGAGAAGCTGGAAATGGAAATGGAAGCAGCTCGCCATGAGCACCAAGTTATGCTTATGCGGCAAGGTACCAATCAGTGATAAATATCAGTATCGGAATACGGTCCTGCAACATCCAGGGGTGGGGAGCTCAGTAGGCTGGCTAGAGCCCACTGAATGTGAGCCATGGTGATGTGACTTCGTAGCAACATGGGAGTGCCAAATGAATGGAGAGAGGTTATTGTATCATTGGAGGCTCTGTTACCTTGTTCTCTTGTGTATTAGGGTTCTATTTCAGGAGTTGATAGGAGGTGTCATGGAGATGAGTTTGATTGTTTTTTTTTTTACTGTTATCTTTTACAGATTTAATGAGACGCCAGGAAGAGCTGAGGAGAATGGAGGAATTGCATAACCAAGAAGTACAAAAACGTAAACAGTTGGAACTCAGGTAAGGAGGCAGGTTATGAAATGTTGTGTATCCATAATATTATAGAATGAAATGTTTCTTCAGTGCACCTAATTGTTCAGTGTGACAATTAAATTACTCCCTAAAGTGTGGCTGTAAATTTTGTGCCTTTTTATTCATAGGGAGAGTGTACAGTTGGTTTAAGATGGAAGAGTTAGGAGTTTCTTCCACTGATCAGTATTTTTTATTTACAGTTCTATGTCTCAGTTTAGCTCCTTAACTGAGGCCAATAGAAAAATCAGAACCTGTGTAGTGATTTGGTGGCTTCAGTGCTGCAGACTTGGAAACACCATTCTAGCATCTATCTTTTCGTTTGAGGGGTAACTTAGTCTCGGAGATTTCTCTCTTCATTCTAGCTCTTCCTTATCTCAGGGTCATTTTGACAAGGTCCAGGAACATCTCCAGACTACTTCTGTAATAGAAGGGTCTTAAGAACTGTCTGGCTTGTGCGCATTGTATTGCATGTAGTCAGCTTGTATTTGGGAGCTGCTGTGTATGTAGAATCATTTAGGTTGGAAAAGACCTTTAAGATGAACTGTAAACCTAACACTACCAAGTCCACCACTAAACCATCTCCCTAAGTGCCACATCTACACTTTTAAATGCTTCCAGGGATGGTGACTCGACCACTTCCCTAGGCAGCCTGTTCCAATGCTTGACAACCCTTTCAATGAAGAAATTTTTTCATAATATCCCATCTAAACCTTCCCTAGTGCAACTTGAGGCCATTCTTTTCATCCTGCCACTTCCTACTTGGGAAAAGAGACCAATGCCCACCTCACTACAACGTCCTTTCAGGTAGTTGTAGAGAGTGATAAGGTCTCCTCTCAGCCTCCTTTTCTCCAGACTAAACAACCCCAGTTCCTTCAGCAACTGCTCATGAGACACACACTGGGTATGCTCACGTTGGGTTTTATAATAAACTCCTTAAAATTTAAAGTGTTGGAAATGTCTTGGTATGCATACATGTTTGTGTTTTCTTCATGAGTCAACTAATATTTTACAGCCTCAGCAAAATAATGTTCTTAAAGTTGTAGGTTTCCAAGCAAGACCAATTGGGCAGCACTGCAACACTGATGCAAATGACTGGTGTATGTTGTGCTGAGCATGCCTGGCCCTTTTTTGCAGGCAAGAGGAAGAACGCAGGCGCCGTGAGGAGGAAATGAGAAGGCAGCAAGAAGAGATGATGCGACGCCAGCAGGAAGGCTTTAAGGGGAATTTTGCTGATGCAGTATGAGTACTTCTACCTTCCCATTACATCAGGACACTGAGATTAGATTTTTGCTCTTCCACAGCATGGGGCTTTCTGTGAATGCTTAACTTGTTGGCTGAGGGATTCTACATCTTTAGTGCATTCTTCCTTAAGTTATTGACTCCCTCCAATCTTAATATAGTTTACTCTGGAAAATATAAATACTCCAGTTACTGTCCCACTGCTGTTCATCATGTAGGACCCTCGCTAGCTGCCTTGCTGTTCAGAAGAATATATGCTAACTAGTTTTATTCTAACACTAACAAAGATGTGTTGTTGTGAAGTACTGCTGCAGAAGCCTGTTATAGCCCAGCTACATCCCTAGCCTGCAGTCTGTCTTAGTCATCCTTAGATGAAATGATCCCAGCTTGAGGGCATTGCTGAAGGCATGATAATTGCTTGTACTTAAAAGTCAAGTATTTACAAGTATTTTCTTGTAATGTAAAATGTGTGGTAAACTGCCTTTTAATAGTAGTATCTCTGGTTCTGTAAGGAATTGTCTTACAACTCATTTGCAGTCCCAGCAACTTTCTAAGCAGCTGTAGTGCTATCAAGGTAGTGTAACGGCAGTGATGCAATGAGGTGGCAAGTGTTCATGTTTCCTGGCGAAAAATTGGCCCCAAGGCAAAATAGCTAAATATATATTAAATCAAAAGATCCAAAACTGTGTGACTGGCCTAAATGTGTGAATATTCTGCATAGCAGAACTCGTGATTTCTGTAAATAATAGTGCCTTCGTATGATAAATGGTGGCACTGAGACTACAGATGAAGTGAGATCTGTTCTTTAGTTCCCACTGTGGAAAAAGTAGTACCCTCAGTGAAGTGAGGAGGTGCTCCTAACTTTGTAGTGAGGGAGATCTGTGGTGTGTCCCCTATATTCAGTTCATAAAAGAGAAATTGAACTCCCTAACTGGTATTTTAATGCAGGTGACCCAGTGTTAGGTCTTTGTGTAAGCTTGCATTCCTTTCAACAGGAAAAGCTTACCTATGCTGAGGAAGTAGCAAAACTGATTCTATCTAATGTGTTACTGCTGCTCAGCACATCTTTCCATCCAGATATCAGATATCTCTTTATGCTGCTGCTTGGTAAAAACTGCGCACGCACAGCTTTGCAGCTGGATGTTTTACCACGATTGTGGAATACCATCTTTCAGGTTGAGATATTTTAAATAAGACCTATTTGTTAAGCAGTTAATAATGTGAAGGTAGCCCAGATCTTTCAAAATTTACCCTGGGGATGACTTATCTACACATATTTCTGTAGTAAAACCCCAGAACTCATTGGATTTGTATAATTACATTTTTTAAATCCTGAAATTTTATAATTTGAAATGTCTCTTTTTTTCAGAGGGAGCCACCAGACATGCGAATGGGGCAGATGAGTATGGGAGGTAAGAATACTCTGTGGCCATCTTTGTTACTCTGCGTGTTCCTTTCCTCCGTTATAAAATCTGTAAATTTTTTTAGTAGTCTTATTTTATTTGCTTCTTATTTAGAAAGTCATAATAATCTTCTCCCAGTTCAGCAGCAGGAAGCATTCATGTGACAGGAAACAACCAAAATTTGGGTATGAGGCAGTACTGTACATTTGTGAAAGACTCAGTTCAGTTATCAAAAGACTTGGCTGAAGTTACTATCAGAAGTTGCATGGTGTGCTTCAGAAGTTTATACTGATGCAGAAGCTGGTAGGACGTAGTGCTGGACCTTGAGCTTGGGAAATAATCTTGATTACTGTTATTTCTATATTTTTGACTATATGATTTAGAGTTTCAGGTGACGAGTACAAGAGCAAGTGAAGAGGCAATGGGGGCTTAGTGGTTAATGAAGGTAGTTAGTGTTAGAGCCTGCTGTGTTTTCAGATAATACTGGAATGCAAGATCAGTTTGTCTTGACCTAATAGTGCAAAGCTAGTTAATAGACTAGGACTCTGTCCCTGGCTGTAAAACTGTGGGGAGCTTGCATGGTGTTCTCTGGCTCTCGGTGATGACTAGAGCCCAGTCACTGCATCTGCCAGGACTATTCTGTTCTCTTTTCCAGGTACCATTGGCATGAACAATAGAGGAGCTATGGGTGGTACCAATGTCCCAGCTGCTGCACCTCCTGCAACTGGTCCTGGAGCTATGATACCTGATGGAGCCATGGGAATGGTAGTGTGTCTCCTCCTACTTTTTGTGCACACTATTTAAATGCAGATTATGTTGTTTCCATTGTTAAGCACTATGCTGTCAAAGTTGAAGCTTCTTTGTCTGCCTAGACCTGTTGCTTAAATCCTGCTAAATCTTGCCTTGATACTAGTTGGTAATTTTCAGGAGATTGAGCCAAACCTAATAACTACTTACTTTACTTCCAAGATAGCTAGTGCTAAAATGTTTGTTAGAAAGATCTTAGCAATAATATATGGTAATTTTTTAAATGGCGTAATAGGAAGCAAAGCCAAGCTTTCAGGAATGTTCTGTCCATCACCAGTTTTAAAAACAGTTATCTCCTATATTAATAGGATAAAATGAGTATGGTAAAAGCGCGTATGCTAAAATGAGTTCAGCTAATTTGCTTTGGGGGTACAGGAGTAAAGAATCAGTGGAGGTTATGCTTATTTATTTACCTTTTTTAACTTTTGTATTTAATTGAGTTTTAAACTTTACTGCAGAGCTTTACAATAGATCATGGCATCTGTCATTCCTCTCTGTCATATAGAGAATTGATCCTTTCACAGTGTCAGCAGTGGAAACAGCAGTAGTCATAGTCAAGTTTGTCCTGGAAGTTCGTCTTCCTTTAGCAGTTTCTATCAATTGGTCTAATAAACAATTTTCGTGAAAACTTTCCTACTTAGACTTCTTGATCTATCGTGACTGCTACATCATGGGAAATTTTTTTGTCATAGAGAATAGTGTTATTTGGCTATAAATGTGGTAGGGACAGTGGTACAGCTGAGGTTAAGGGAATGCATACTACACAAGGAAAGTAAGGGGAAAGATGAAGAGAGGAATGGAAAGGGAAGGTGAGTTCACATCAATATGATGCGATGATAACATTTAGACTAAAAAGCAGTAAGCTGTTTCTCTAATGGCCAGAAATATGTGTAGTCTTCTTGGAAACTGTTTATCCTGGTCATGTGCTTGGGCCAATGTATTCCAGGTTTTTATGGATGGAGCAGTTACTTTGCATGTTTGCTCCAGCTGCTTGGAGTGATTGCGGTATCATTCCCTGTGATGTATACTACAGGAAAAGTTCATGATTACTCAGAATTTTTCATCTATAGGGAAGGGAAACAGGGTTAGGAGTGCTGTGTTGCTGCTAGTGCCACCCTGGCACTGCCAGCAAAGTAAGCGTTGAGAGTCCCTCGGACCTCCCCATTGACAGCTTTACTGAAGTTTGGGTTTGTAGAACCAGGCAATACCATGGAGTCATCTACAGTACCAATACCAATTATGATATGCATATCTGTATCATATCACATTACATTGCATATATATGTATTGTTGCTGTAAACCTGTGGACAAAGAATGAACAGAACCCAGGAGCCTGGTGTAAAGCAGCTCTGCTCTAGGTAGTCACTTAACCCCAGTCTGGGGGGAAGGAAGAGGCAGTGGTTGCCTCCAGTACCTTCCCCAAAGGGTAATTATCTATCATGAGGACATTCAAGCGGTGGAGCAGGTTGCCCAGAGAGGTTGTGCGGTCTTTGTCCTTGGATGTTTACAAGAGCCAACTGGATAAAGCTGTGACTAACCTGGTCTGACCTCATGGCAGACTCCACTTGGAGCAAGAGGTTGGACTAGAGACCTCCTGAGGTACCTTCCAACCTGAATTATCCTTTGATCATCTTCGCCCTGCTGGAAGGAAGAGAGGCTATGCAGTAGCACTAACTCAGCTGCAGGAGGGGAGAGCCAAAAGAATGGAAATAACAGGGATACGATCAGGGCACAAGATTATTATTGCAGACCTATTTTGGAATTGGAGTATTGTGTACACCTGGATTGTCATAGTGCTGTACTATCAGTATACCACTCCTCATTTGCATTCAGATTGGGTGAAGGAATATGGTGGAAATGTGAGGTTCTCCTTTCCTAGACCGTATTACTCACATGCTTCACAGCAGGGCAGTAGTCTGTGAGATGGTGCAAAATGTATTCCAGTATGCTTGACTAAAAAAGTACATGGGGAGGGAGACTTGGTCCTGAATGGTCCTGTCAGTCCAGTTTTGAGGCTTTGGGGGTGTTTTTTTGGTGGGGTGAAGGTTTGTAGCAAGGTCAGCTGGAATTGTGGAATCCTGTTAGAATTTGAATCAACTCAAATGCCTTTAACTGACTTTTTTTCCTTGTTTTTCTTCCTGCCTCTTCTGCATTTGTCTGCATTACAAGACTCCACCACCGCCTGCAGATCGCTTTGGCCAGGGTGGCGCAATGGAAGGCCTCGGAGCGATGGGAGGGAACCCACCTGCCTTTAACAGAGGAAATCCAGGGGGTGATTTTGGCCCTAACAAGCGTCGCAGATACTAACAAGATTAAGCTACCCCCTGCACGTGCCCCAAAGAGGAAAGGAATCTTGGCAGGCCACACAGGGTTCAATGAGGGTGGGTGGGGGGAAAAAGGGGAGGTTGGGTGGAGGGGAAATAGTAAAAATAGTTAATTAGGACCTGTTTTGGTAAAGCCACTCTAGGATAGGACAAGGGGGAGTGCAGTCTCACTGGTAAAGGTTTTAGAAAATTTCATGTGGTGCATTCCTATAATTTCAGTGTGAAAAATGGATTCTGGGAGGCTGCCATGGTTGTTCAGTAATGATAAAATCTGGCAAGGACCCTAATGCCTTGACCATTCCAGGTTTCCTATTTGCAGCCGGAGTCCTGAGACTAAACTAGATAAAATTGCAGTATGTCTTGGCATTTTTTTAGTGTAGTGTACCTTGCTTAAGAGCACAGGGAAGTCTCTGGAGAACTAGGGCAGCATCTGGGTACTTTGCAGCTCCCATGATTCTGTAAATTTATATAGCTCCAAATGATCCGTCACGTAGTGAATTGAGGGAGATTATATGTTCATTTATTTCTTTTTTTTTTTTTTTCTTTTTCCTAACTTGTAGTTATTCTTTATCTGGACCATCTGTTTCTTTAAAGTAGATGACTGTCATGTGCAGCCTGAATGGCTGGGAGGCTCTTGTTTGGATGGATTTTTTGATAACGTGTTGTATCACTGTTTATTTTCACTGGTAGTAAAGTACAATCTATTGGACAAAGATACTGTATCTCATGCTGAAGATTTAACTGAAACAAATGTTTGTATAATCTTAACCTTGCCTGTCTTTTGTGTAGAAGTACTACAAGATTTTTCATTTAGTGTAAACTGTTTGAACACAAGCTGTAATTGTCCCAACTAACAAGTTTTGAGTTTGTCTGAGGAATGTTACAGGAATGCATTATTAAAGTGGATTTTAAGCCTTTTTTTTTTATCTGATGTGTTGTCTCTTCTGTTCTTTTGAGTAAAAATGTACATATGGATTGAAGGAAATCAAGCTTCAGATGATGGCTCAAAAATTGTTCTTGCATAGCTCTATAAAGAGGGTGTTCAACCTGAGAATTTTCTAACGTGTCGCCTTGTCACAGAATGAGGTTTTTTTGTGTGTTGGAATGAGACCTTCAGCATTTCAGAATACAGTAAGGGAGCTCCTGATGCACCTAGGCTGTGTCTATGTTGTGGATGCAGAGCAGTGAGATGCAAGACTTTCTCATATGTCACTGGGAGCGTGGAGTTCAACTTGTGTCTCATCTGCATCGGGCAAAGTTGTCTGGCTCTCTTTGCCCTGGGTTGCAGTTGCCTCTGGCTTGGATGGAGACCTTCCTGAGAGCTCTGAAATCCTGTCCTGGGGCAAGAAATGGAGTACTGGTAATTGTCAGTGGCAACAGTAACACTGTTATCTTGGGTAGTACATCAGGGAATCCATAGGGACAGAAGCTTGCTGTGCATTGTGCTCTGGCACTGAATCTCTTGATTTGAGACTTTGAGACGGCGGGGCGGGGGGGGCCGGGGACAGAGGGGGAAGCTTAGCAAGAAATTTGGTTTACCTGTCACTGATGGCCTGTAATTAGCCTGGAATGGGACAATTGATAAGATGCATTGAAGAGAGACTGCAGCTGATGCTCCTGTTTGTTCTGGATATTTGAAAGCATCAGCACTAGTAGCTGGCTTGCTGAGGTGATAGAGGGGTTGTGACTTACCTGTAGGTACAGTATGAAGAGTTTAGTGATGTTTTCACCTGGCATATTTGCTAGGATAGCTAAATATTGCAGAATATCAAATAAGTTGGTGAGAATGCTTGTTAGTTTTTCTGTTGCCCTGTGGAGAGGATGCATCTGTTCTTATGGCTTTTTTTTTGGAGTGGCTGGCAGACATTCACTAATACCATGGGTGTTTGGTAAGTACATCATTTAATTCCAAAGTGTGAAATATTAGGAGAACAAACTGTGAAGTTGTACCCAAGCGTCTGTATTGTCTCTCATCCTCCTGCCCATTGCTCAGCTGCGTTGCTTGTTAGTGAGTGGGCAAAAGAGAAGTTGCTGCCTTAGGG